CATGCAGACCAGCAACCAGCTCCTCCTCATGCTGTTGTGTTTAACAGCATCTGAACTCAAATTAAACTGGAGTGCAATGCAAGAAATACATAGTTTATTCTAAACAGGGAACATATTTAAGGTTCAGAAAACTGAGTTTAGGGAATAAAAGCAGTTTTTCAATGCAATGACCTCACCCTCAACTTGGCTATCTCCAGCTGCCTTTTACTTTGTGACCTTCCCAAAATCACTGCTAAAAGTCACCTGCAACATTCAGTATTAACCTACCACAGCTGCTGCTTCTTACACTTGCTATGTGGTGTCCGAGAAGAAATATGGCCTACACAGCAGCAAGAACATTTAAAACAATATTTATCGAATGGAAAGTGATTCCTGTCTGCTGCACTGACTAATTTGTCAACAGCCTGAGGCGGTACGAAGATGGAGGAGAAAACTAAACTTAAGACTGGGACTATAGAGACGGGTACAAAAATCAGCTGCTGTAGGGCTGTAAAAGCAGACAGGGTGCAGGGGCTGGGGGTCTGTCTGTTAGGGAGAGTGGTAGAGGGGATTAAAAGTCTTCTTCACTCAGTCGTCTGCTGGCGTAGGACTTTGGTTGGGACTTGCTGAACGGGAACGACTGAAACAAAAACAAAGAGGAGTTAGCTGGCCAAAGGGGAGGCTGGAAGAAGAAATCCCACATTATTCAACATCTTAGTTTAACTGGTGAAAAAAATGGATGGGTGCTGATATTTTTGAACTCTTTGAATACCTCTTTGACCTCTTAGACCAAGGTTCCTCTCAAGAACCACAGATTACTTTAGGTGCTCTATTCATCTAAGGCAACTCATGCTTACATCTCAGGAGTAACTGTAATTGAATCCCCCCGGGGCAGACACATTGTAAAATAAATGACAAGCCCCTGACACCCGTCTTCTCACTTGGTTCTAGAAAAGACTTTCTGCCCTATAGAGAGATTCAGGACTTAATCTTTCAACAATTATAAACTCTAAGGGCAGAGACACACCAAGCCAACATCAAAGAACTAGCAGTGGAAGAGGCCAACTGTTGTGTTGTCTCACATCACCGTCGTCTGGGCCAAAATGCGGCACAGACTACAGCTAATGACCAACTAGCACTTTCATTCTGCACTTGTGAGAGAAAATAACTCTCCACACCAGCAGGTGGCATTAGTCTGCGGTTGTCACTCAAAGGGAAAGCAGAAGACTTTGGACTGCACGGACATACAAACCGTAAACAAAGCAGCTCTCGCTTAACACAGTTTATCACTGCTTCTGTTTGAGAATATGTCTTTGATAAGATTTGGCAAATTACACTGGTGTCAGCCCTTTTTTGTTTACAGAAGAAAGGAGGCTGTGGCAGCAAAAATAAGAAGAAACTGCACAAAATAGGTGAAATCGTGGTTACTAAAGTGACAGGCTCAAGGGTATTTCCTGAACCTCTCTCTTCTCATTCACTGATTCACTAAGGTGAATAGCCAATCTGAGCACTCTCAACGATGAGGTCCACCCGCAGGCTCAGCATGCTGAATCAGCTAAAAAGTCGCTGACAGCGTGGTACGCACCTCACAAACTAAGGTGACAGTCAGTCACCGATGGCCAACTGTCAGCTTGGTGTGTCACAGGCCCAAAAGATGGAAGCTGTTCCATACCATGACCAGAGCAGGAACTGCACATTGTACTGAGTTTGAGTGCTAACATTAATACTATAATGGTAAAATGGCTTTAAATGGCAACAATCTTGCGAGATGTATGGCACAAAAAGAAGAACGTGACAAAGCCTCCTCACAGGTTATCAGCCCATTAAATTTCACGTTGCCCTCCTCTTCCAGTCATTCACACACACACACACACACACTCCACCACACATACAGAATCTAAGCACGCTGGTTAAAGCTCAACTTTAGCTCGATTATCACCAGTTTCTGCAGATTACATCAAGCCTGTGCTTTTTCTTTCACCATCAACATGAGCTTGTCAGGGGGTTTGGTTTTTGGTTACCTTTGGAGACAGTGGCAGAAACAACAAGTACAGAGAAGCGAAGGATGAAAGGACTGAAGGACGGATGACTACAACTTGCAGAGACACTGCGCTGGGAGGCTCTTGAAGACTGATCTCTCGTCAGCTCTCTTTCTCTCACTTTCAGAAGCTAAGACAGAGGCTGAAGAACTCTGGTAGGTAGGGGGGTCTGGTAGGAAGGTAATGGATTTAAAAAGGTAGTGGTTGCACTCTGATCTGTGTGGGTCAGCCCCCTGGTACATCTGAAGGCTGGCTGGGTGACTCTAGTAGAACAACTGTATGTGTGCGCGGGCTGATCTCGTCTGAGCGTGTGCGTCGGTTGAACACTGTGGGGAAGGTTCGGTCGGTAGGTCGACCTCTGTCTCGCTGTCTAACCCCAGATGCTGGCGAAGGCTGATCTCAGGTCAGCGCTTAGTCACCCTCCCGCAGGACGTGCACACCGCCAGCTGGCAGACCCTGGGCCTGGGATCAGCTGCGGTGTCAGTGCAGTGCTCAGCTCCCACCACACGCTTTAAAGAAAATATGAAAAATAAACAAAACTGTGCTGCAAAAATGCTCAAGTCACCAATGGTGTCGTTTGTCTGATCTCAGCTACTGTTTTTAAGGCGAGTTCCCTTTATCTAACCAAATTCAGGATAGGGATTTAAGAAATTCTGCCCCTGACCATCTTTCCTTAACACTTGTCAGTCCAATAGGTAAAGTTTTGTCTCTTGCTCTAAATGCATTTAGAAGAGGACTACACCTAGGGTGGGTGTGTACAGAGGATATGGGTGCATCTCACTGGTTTTAGCTGCTGTGAATCTGAACAGTTTACAGGCTGAGCAGAGAATTTCCTTCATGCGCTATATTTTCAAGACCAAGTGAAGCTGATTCAGAGCTACACTGAGGTTAAATGGTGCAGACAATGCAGAGCTGTCAAGAGATGAAAAAGAGAGAAGCAGAGAGAGGTCTAATCTTTTATCTCTCCTATACCTCCCTACATCAAACAGAGCCCCCAACCCCCCACTACTGGCCAGTAGCACAGGCAGAAGACAGATCTCTGTGTCCAGGAGGCAGAGGGTCTCGGTGGTCGTCCATCTCGCAGTCATGTGGCCGACGTTTGGTGACAGCATGAAACTATCAGGTGGAAGGTCATCTATTTAACAGTCAGTCCCTGTCTAGGGATGGAGCGCTTAGCTGTGGCTAACATGAAGAACATAACTGACCCTCTCTTGGAATGCAAGATAGCTGTGGTCTGGACTGTCATAGCTAAGATCTGGACTCACTGAAACGTCTTCCTACTGAAGTGTTACATACATCTAGAATGACTTGGAAAAACACTGATAACATACAGAACTAAGAACCAGAAACTTATTAGACAACCTACACCTGGTTCAGTGAATGACACACATCTGGACTGAGGGTTTACCTGTTCCTCTTGTGGTTCGTTGACGGAGATCGTGAGTGGGATCGGGAGGCAGAGCGTCCCCTGGGTGCAGAGCCAGAACGAGACCGAGATCTGGAGCGACTGGTGAACAGAAAAACAGGTTTACATGCCACACTATTGCAGGATAAAACTGGAAATTATGATCTGTGGAGACACAGCTAAAAACATATTTCCAAACCTTAGCAGAGCAGAGTGTTATCGATAACCACAAGTTGCAGAGAAGCAGAGGCACACACCTCCCAGATCTCACTGGGTACTGCTGACTGCCTGGTCCAACACTGTGTTAGCAAGTTTCTTCTAATTTTTCTTTCAGGGTTTGAGTACATGTCAGCAGGGTACAGCACAGTGACCTTCTAGCAGAGTACAGGAAACTAAATTCCTCTTCAGGGGTCTTGTGTCTCTGCTATTTGGCAGGGTCACTTCCATGATGCATCCCTGGGATGAAATTAATTTCGCTTTCCCCATTTTCTTTACTCTTTACTTTTATTTGCATAAAATTTTTAATGTAGGAGGGGAGACGCGCTCTGTGTAGATAGGGTGAGCCGGCAGTCTGGGACCAAGTGCTACATTCTGACGATGTACGCAACACTATCACCAGTGTCTCAAGTCTGCACACCACTCTGCCTCAAACTGTTCTTGGCTTCTCTCTGACTTACAGGTCAGGGCATCCCTGATGTCAGAGAGCACGCTGACTGCAGTTATTACTCATGACATCTGCACACATGCCAAAAACCACACTAACCAATTTTGTGCAGAGGAAAAAAAATACTTGAAGAGCCAACAAAGCTACATCCGCACTTATCTCTCTCACCATTGCTGTTTTGGTTTGTAGACTACCAGAGCAAAATTTATGTCACAGTTGATGCAGAGCGACGTCACATCTCCCCTCTGGTGTGGAATCCCGGCCTGCTGTCTGAATTGACAAACTGGCTCACGATTATACCACCCTTAGCTCAATCTGTATGAACAGCAGAAGGGCGGGATATTGGCGACCCTTTGGAACAGCAGTAGCGCAGGATCCCAGTGTAAAAACACCCAATGTTAGGTCTGCAGTAGCAGAGAACAGTGTCTCTGCTGCAGTGCTCCTATCAGAGAGAGCCAGCATTAACCAAAACAGGCACAGGTTTGAAATGAGTTCTTTTCTTTGCAGCACCAGAGTCGACTGAAGTTTTGTAAAGTGCTGCAGTGTGGTTTTCCGACCTGCTTTCATTCGTTAATGCCAGAGTTCACTACTTTGCTCCTTATCGTTAGTTTGTGATGAGCTACAAACTATTCACATCATCCTCTACACTGTTTTCAAACCTCATTACCAAGTTGTTAAAATGTGCTCAAACACCTTCCTTTTCTGAACTGACGTTACCAGCCAAATGGTGCATACAACCTACCTTCTCACTGGAGTCCTCGACTTGGAACGGGCCGGTGAGCCGGACCTAATGTTACAGGAAACACAGTGGGTTTAATTAAGAGCTGTGGTGGGAATGATTACACCCACCGTACATTTACTTAATTAACCGCAGAGGGATATAACATTAGTAATCTGTTAGTGATCTCACGCTGGTGGATCAACAACCCTGATGAGGAACAGCTACAGGTCCCACATGTCATTAATTACACAAAGAGAACAAGAATGAATGTACATCCTAACAGTTAATTAGAGTTCAGAGGCGTATTCTCACCTGCTCCTGTGCCTGGAATAGGATGGAGATCGGCGACGACTCCTGAGAAAGAACGGTGACATAAAGGATAAAGACAAGGCAGATCTGTAGGTCTGACTGGCAGACAACATTAACTTATCATTTACTATTCAGGACAAAATCCACTCTGTGCACATGTATATGGATGTTAATAAAGTCTTGTTATAAAAGTGATAGTATGTCATTTATCTCCAAACTCTGGAACATAACACCAAATCTGGCTGGATGGACATAGTAAGTGCCCCTTAGTTTGAATGAGTCATGCTTTTAAACCACACCTGTTGGATTCCACTATCAATCACACACCTCATTTAGACTGTGTGCTGTCTTCACACTGTAATCAAACCACACAAACCAGCATGTCCCGTTAATATTTCATAAGGTGCGTCTGTGATTCAGTGCAGACGTACCGACTGTGGCTACGGCTGCGGGAGCGGGAGCGGTAGCGCCGCGCACGGGATCTGGACCTGGAGCGAGAACGAGAGCGAGAGCGAGACCTGGAATGGAAAAACAAATTTATCCCCTTCTGTCCTCTGATGGCAACACTGTTTACATAAAAGAAACAAAAAAAGAGCTGTGCAGTGTAAACACTTAATATGCAAAAGAGAACAACAATTAGTCAGTTACTCAGTGGATTGAGAAACCGTATAGGAAACCTTGGCCTTTGGGAAAGTGTGGCTTTTTTCTTTCACAATTTTCTGAAATATTACAGACCACACAGCTCTGAAATACTTGACCAAAAAAAGAAAAAAAATGCACTAAAAAAGTGCATCCCATCAGCCATAAGCACATGCAGAAAGGACAGTACTCCTCCACCTGCTGCGACGGCCTCGCTTGCTGAAGCGATAGCAGTCATAGGCATAGTGGCCCCGGTCCCCACACTGGTAGCACCTATCATTGGGGTCGAACTGGCGTCGGCTGGGGCGCCCACGACCCTTCCTGGAGAGGCCCGTTGACATTTCCACACGAACACGGGAACCACAAAGGACCCTAAGAAGATGACAGGTAAGTAAAAGAGGCTTGAGACTGTTTAAATTCCTGCAGTGCTCTTAATAAAGCTTATAGTTAGGGCTGGCTCAGGTGACCCTGAGCCTTACCATAGTTATGCTGCTATAGGGCTAGACTGCTGGGGGGCCCCCTCTCTCTTCATCCATGTATATGAACCATTACATGTCATTAACTGTGTCTCCTCTCTCTCTCTCTCTCCCTGTACCTTTCTGCAGGTAGCCCTGGCTCTGGAGCTCTACGTTTCTGATGAGCAGTCACCAGCCACATGTTTGTTGTTGTGCCCTGTTGCTTTTCTTCTTTCCTCTCTCCTCTATCCACTCACCCCAACAGAAGGCCGCCCACAAAGAGCCGGGGTCTGTCGGAGGTTTCTTCTGTTAAAGGGAGTTTTTCCTCCATGCTGTCACTAAGTGTTGCTCAGGGGGATTTGTTGGGGTTTTTTTTCTCTATAATAATAATAATAATAATAATAATAATAATAGTAGTAGTAAGGTCTAGACCTTACTTTGCAAAGTGTCCTGAGATAACTTCAGTTGTCATTTAGCTATACATATAAAACTGAACAAAACTGAACTGATGAAGGCTGCAAGAAGGTTAGACTGTGCTTTTCTTTTCTTAATTCACCTAAAACATGACAATTTTTGTTAATATTATCTGTTACATGGCAACACACCAGATTTAAGACCTAAACAATGTACAAGAGTTTGTACCTTACAAAGCAGTTGGTCATTCTTGTTAAAGCTTTGCATTTCTAATGCTTCATCTTATTTCTGTCAAAGAAAGTCAACAAAAAACACCCTTTGAAGACAGGAAATGTTGCTACTCACTTTCCATCCATGCCTTTCACAGCATCCTCTGCATCTCTGGGATCCTCAAACTCTACAAAGGCAAACCCGGGCGGGTTCCTGGCCACCCAGACACTTCTCAGTGGGCCATAATAACTGAAGGCTCGCTCCAACTCCCCCTTGGCAGCACCATTGCCCAGGTCACCCACATACACTTTACAGTCAGTGGCCCGAGATGAACTACGGGAGGATGAGTAGTATGACATCGTTCCTTGCCTGATTGAGAAAGGAAAATATACAAAAAGTAATGCTTCATTAGGTATACCTTTTGTCACATAATGGACATGTTTTGATTTTAGTTCAAGATTAAATTAACGGTTTTTTTTTTTATGTTGACCTGTCCAAGGTGGACCCCACCTCTCACCCAATGTCAACTGAAATTGGCTCCAGCCCCCCTCAACCCTCTTCAGGATCAACACTACAGATAATGGATGGATTGATGGATATTCTACCACATAAAAAAAACATCTATCAATTTTCTGCTGCTTATCTGGGACCTAGATTAGAATAATTACATTTGAAAACATTTTCTATCATTCCCGGACCAGTGTGAACGCAGTAAAGATATTAATCTGCATTCTGTGGTATTTTAAAAAGAGCTTAAATATTTAAACTAGGTTAGTATCTTAAAAAAACACTTATTTGGCAAATCTTTTTGTCAAAAGCAATTTACAGTCGAAACACCCACATATCCCAGCCATACAAATACAGGTGGTGATGTTTTTAGCTTAGGGCGTGCAGGAGCGCCTGTCGGCGCGCCAAACGCGGCCTCCTCGGGCTTTAGTCCGACATCTATCGTCAGTTCCTATAAGACATTTGCTAAGCTGAATAGGCTTTGGCGTTTATTATTAACCGGACCAGTATAGTTAAAAAAAAAAGCTACTCGTACGCTCATCAGCGTATTAAATCTCACTGTCCGGGTTATTTATGGTGCGAGTTACATGCTACCAACTGGGGATACTGTTGTCCACAGCTCCGCGCGAATTTACCGATTCGCCCGGACCAGTCTATGCACACTGAACAGATCATGAAGACATTTCTAGCTCACAAATGTGTTCTTTGTTGACGCATTTGTAACAAACATTTGCTGCGTGCAGATATTCCTACAGATAACAATCGAATTCAAACATAAAATATACGTTTGGTATGTGTCTATAACTGGGTGAATCCAGGAATTAGTCGAAGGCCTTGCTCGTCTCCTGCTCACAAACAATGGCGCTGGCACGCGTTAGCTAGCCATACCTTCTTCCGCTTTACGATGATTTCCGACTCCTCTCCAACCTGAATAACTTCCAGCCAATTCAAATCAGAGATCTGGCGCAGTATTTAACTAATGGAAGACTGTCTTATCAAATTAATTCGCTAGCTAGCACGCTTACAGACTAAACAAATCTTCCACACGAGTCCCTCACATTAGCCGGTTTAATACATCGATAGGTTAGCCACAAGCGACGGAAAGAAACCCGTCACATTACCACGTGACACCCGCATCTGCGCACTAAAACACTTCCGACGAAAACCAAGCATTTTACTTGTTTTCATTTTACAGTGGTAACACTGTCGGCTATTTGTTTATATCTGTTTAATTTTTATATTTATTTCTTATTTTCAGTTGGTATAGGCTCTAAAGTATCCTTGCACTTGTGTCCTGTGTTTGATATAGGGTAACATGAAGGAAGATGCCCCTTTACAAGATTTTTAAAAGCTTGATATTGAATATTTTACCATTAAAATACCCGTTAAACTGTGTTTGTTTCTGCACGACCATGCTGTACATAGTGAATTCATACCCACCTTGCAGTTTTTCAACAGACAATCTTCTTAAGGGGGCATCTTACCCCATGTTACCCTAATTTGCGAGTTTTATAAAGATGCATTTTTAAATTTCTGCAATAAATGCAAAAAAACAACAACAACAAATTGATAAGATAAATGAGAAGAAGCTTGTTCAAAACACCATCACTGCATTTTTCAGTGAGAATATGATATAAAACCATATTAATCTTTTCAAAAAAGTATCAACATAACTATTAATTACTGATAAAGTATTTACGAGTCTTGCTATGGTGCTAGAGGGTGAATCTTATATTAGAGATAGTTTTTCATATAGATATAGATTTTATGGCCTTGGTGTTAAGATCCAGGGTGTCACCATAGCCTATATTTTAAATGTGGCACTGAGGGACAACGGACATAGGGTGTTGACTGCTGTACAGATTGTAAAGGCCCCTGAAGCAAGTTTGTGATTTTGATATAGAATCGTGTAAACAAAACTGACTTTACGTGACAGTGAATACACAAAAGTTTGGCTTGGTGTGCAAATGACTGGCTACATCCTGCAGATTTACAATATACATATATATTATTTTAGTCATTTATATTGTCCGTTCCTGCTTTAAACAACACAAATGTATCTTTGAGGTCCACTGTTATTTTTGTTCTTTGCAGAAAATTAGTCTTGGCAGGTGATAATTTACAAAAAGCACACAAGGTATCCAGGTCTAGTTTGCATCTAGAAAATGTTTTCACTGGGTAACATATAGTATATGCATTATTTTAAAAGAAACACTTTACCTTGTTATTGCTCAGTTTCCTGCTAACATCCAGGACATTTTTCAGGGAACACTCCCGATGACCCTCTCTGACACAGTAGTGGCATCAGCCATATTCTGCTGGGGCAGCAGAAGATGACATCTAAACCACAGACAGAAATGGACTGAGCAAAGGGCCAGCTCTGTCCTGGGAGGTCCCCTTGACCCAGTGCAGGTGCAGGATGACAGGAGGACATTAGCCAAGCAAACATCCCTGCTTGAACTACTTTTTATTATTGTAGCTACATTGTTTATATTGATGATACCTTGTCTATTACTTTTGATTCTTAACAGTGCCTTGTTTCCATTCCTTTGCTGCTGTGACGGGATGAATTTCCCAGTTATAGGACTAATAAAGGTTCATCTTATCTTATCTCATCTTAAAGGAGTCTCCAAGGATAATTTCCTAATACATTTGATGATTGTCTTGACTTTTAAATGGGCAATCTTTATCAGCATGCAAGTTACTGGGATCAGATGATGGCAATATTCTGTCTTTTGCCTTTAGGGAGAAATGATGACAATCTGATTGCATCAAAAATATTGCATAATCTGACATAAACCATTCACCTGCATAATTACTGCAAAATGACATTTAATTTGCATACACTTAAATTACATCATAATAGGCTGATGGATTTTGCCTTCTCTGCTATACTGGGTTCAAGTTTCATAAGGTCTGTGCATAAAGAAAGTAAAAACATCCACCTGATCCTGAAGTTTATCACTGCAGCTGCTGCATACAAGGTCCATTGTCTCGTTCTCTGTCCATGTAGGTTTGGGTTTGCACATTTAGTGCAAAATAATGACTCGGACACATCAGACCTTGAAAATAAATAAACTATATTCAAATAAGGTCAACTTCACTTGATTAAAGACCTTCATTTTCTTTCAGTAACACATTAAACCTCATGCCATGTTTTCAAAAACAAGTTACTTTTTTAAAGATTTTTTTCTACATTTCATAAAAAAACAAATATCATCTTCAGTTAATTTATTACAGTACTGAATAAATGTATATATCACATGATATTGTAGTAACTCAGTCATTAATTCCCTACAAAGGTTCAGGCAGAGACAGAAATTTTCAACATCACAGGAAAAAAACAACACAGAGAGACACACTGAAGAGTAAGACCTAGGAGGGAGCGAATGAGAGAAGAAAAGGAGGAACACTAACACTGACACAGGACAGGATCATACACCAGTGAACAAAAAAGATGACCTGGGATGTTGCTTGTTGCAGATGTAGCCTTGACACAACAAAGCAGGCTCTTTTCACAGCTTCTGACGGTAACAAAACAAACACACAGTAGACAATGACTCCATAAATGCTGCCTCTGTGTGTAGTTGTGATTGTGTATGTGTGTGCCACATGCTCATTTTATTTCACAAAGAGCCTCTGGGAGTGTGGGGAATCAACCTGATAAAATATGCCTATAGGCGTCCATCACAGTAGACCATGCTGCTAACACGCGTACACAGGGATTCATCATGCATCTGCAGAGGAACATGGAGGGAACGCAAACACAGACACACACTGGGGAGGGAGGGCTGAGGGGGAGAGACAGCTAGCTACAGAACAGCAAAGGCCGAAGCCAGACAGTTAGTACAGAATTTCATGGAGACAAGGAGCATTGTCCAGACATTGTAGACAGTTCTGTTTTTGGGTGCTGGGTCACATCTGGGTCACATCTGCTGGGAAAAAGCTGGGAGTGCTGGGCACATAATCAGAGCGGATCATTTTATACCCAATCACAGATTTTACAAGAGTTCAGCAGATTTGTGTGTGAGTGGTGGTTTAGTGAGCGGACTACAGCGAGGCTAGTGTCACGACCTCACACCACTGGTCTGCGGTGTCCCTCTTCAGCTCGTGACAACCCGAGACTGACAATCACACTGGCAATGTCCTGCAGTTTCTTCATGTAAACATGCTACTTAAGACTCAAAACTGCTCCTTCAAGAGGACTGGATGAAGAAATATATGTCAGTGGAGGGCTACGACACACACTGCAGCAGAACAACATGTGAACTGAGCTGTCGTCAAAGCTACTAACAAAATAAGATGTTCCTATATTGAACAATGAAACCACACTCCTTGACCTAAACTCGAAACTGTTTGCCTCAAGGATGTGTGGCACAGCATATCCATAGATAAATAATCTTCTTGTAAATAAATAAATATCTAAATTATCTCATGAGAAAAAATATACATAAGTATCAGACACAAAATAAGTCAGCAGACAACATACTTCAGTAGATGAGATGACTGGAGCTTCCTCTGTGGAAAATATATCAAAGTCTAATCCACTAAATTCAGCAACAACGTAATCTACACTGCCTACTGTATATATTAATACTATACCATACTATAATGTATATTGTTTAGAAGTACCAAAAGTCTACCTTGGCTATAGCTGCAAGGAAAAGATACAAAATAGATTTTAGAAAGTTTACAAAGTATATTAGCGAAGGGTAAACGAATCAAATCATTCTGATATTTTGTACAGTAACAGTAATAACAAATTCCACTTGTATAGCACTTATCATTTGTGAGTGAAATGTTTGTAATGGACCTGCAGCACAAAGTGCAGTGTCCTCACAGAAATATGAGTGTGACTGATATCAGGCAGTGAACATTACAGTAAACTCCTCACCTAGAAAATGATACTAGACTCTTGATGTGTCTATACTAATCACTAGCTATTTTATTAACAAATTATGACGTTGAGTACTGCTCGCTGCATTTGTTCTGACATTTTTTCACACACTGACTTTTCAGCTTCATGTATTTCTCTGTTGAAAGTAATAAACCTGAAATGTTGGCATGTACATGTCACAGCAAATCCCAGGATGTCTGCATGTAGCTCAGTCTTTGCATGCTTTGTACGCGTTCTACTTGGTTTTACAGTTTATTGATCAGCCAGTAGATTCAGTGGCTTGTGAACATGTTACTGTATGTTCCAACTCTGCCATGAGATACTGAGAAATGCATACATGCCTTGAAGGTCAGTGATTTCTAATGTCTGTTTCACTGAAAACAACTTTTGTCTGTGATTTGCATGTTCAGTAACACTACAGCTCCTTTTACTGACTTTGTGTTTCACATTAGACGGCCTGGTCCTGTCAGCTGTCTGCAAAGCAAAGTCCACTGTTGGCCAACAGGCTGTAAACAAACCCTGTTTAAATTAGATGATTAGTGAGTATTTTAATATAATGTACAAGCTTTCCAAGTTTTAGCATGTCTTGCACTTGTATTGTGCTCTAAGCACAAACAGATGGGCTGGGGCAATTTACAACGACCCCTTCCCACAGGACCAGAAATGTCCAGGTTACATTAGTCATCTGAACCAGTGGAAACTTCAGACAGTTCATAGTTTTCCTCCAGTGACTCTCCCATCACATATCGTGCAACAGCAGTTTGTCGAGTAAAAACACAACACAGTATAGTTACATCAAACAAAGTGCAACCTGGGCAGTTTGTACAAGTGAAAGCTTGGATGCTAGATTTTTGATTGTGGAGTTTCCTTAAGACATTGTATAGGTGCTCTGCTAACGCAGCAGTGTGGCGCATACTGACATCCTGCGTTCTAGTAGATGTGTAGGTTAGGAACTTTAACTAATCCATATCCTGTAGACTCAACGTTCAGTGACCAGAATCTGTTTTGTCAGCTTTTAAATAGCTTCACTGAAATTTCCTGGCTTTAAAGGATTCAGCTCTTAAACTAAGGCTGTAAAGTCTCGTTCGATCCTCCCATACATGTTAGTCTTACCATGCTGCTGTCACTACAGGTAAAGGATTAGTCTTTCAGGTTATGCAATAATGGGTTCGTTTGTTTCTACACACAGTGACAGAGCGACTACTTGTAGTTCTTGTACAGTAACAGTAATAACAAATTCCACTTGTATAGCACTTATCATTTGTGAGTGAAATGTTTGTAATGGACCTGCAGCACAAAGTGCAGTGTCCTCACAGAAATATGAGTGTGACTGATATCAGGCAGTGAACATTACAGTAAACTCCTCACCTAGAAAATGATACTAGACTCTTGATGTGTCTATACTAATCACTAGCTATTTTATTAACAAATTATGACGTTGAGTACTGCTCGCTGCATTTGTTCTGACATTTTTTCACACACTGACTTTTCAGCTTCATGTATTTCTCTGTTGAAAGTAATAAACCTGAAATGTTGGCATGTACATGTCACAGCAAATCCCAGGATGTCTGCATGTAGCTCAGTCTTTGCATGCTTTGTACGCGTTCTACTTGGTTTTACAGTTTATTGATCAGCCAGTAGATTCAGTGGCTTGTGAACATGTTACTGTATGTTCCAACTCTGCCATGAGATACTGAGAAATGCATACATGCCTTGAAGGTCAGTGATTTCTAATGTCTGTTTCACTGAAAACAACTTTTGTCTGTGATTTGCATGTTCAGTAACACTACAGCTCCTTTTACTGACTTTGTGTTTCACATTAGACGGCCTGGTCCTGTCAGCTGTCTGCAAAGCAAAGTCCACTGTTGGCCAACAGGCTGTAAACAAACCCTGTTTAAATTAGATGATTAGTGAGTATTTTAATATAATGTACAAGCTTTCCAAGTTTTAGCATGTCTTGCACTTGTATTGTGCTCTAAGCACAAACAGATGGGCTGGGGCAATTTACAACGACCCCTTCCCACAGGACCACAAATGTCCAGGTTACATTAGTCATCTGAACCAGTGGAAACTTCAGACAGTTCATAGTTTTCCTCCAGTGACTCTCCCATCACATATCGTGCACCAGCAGTTTGTTGAGTAAAAACCCAATCAGTGACTCTCCCATCACATATCGTGCAACAGCAGTTTGTCGAGTAAAAACACAACACAGTATAGTTACATCAAACAAAGTGCAACCTGGGCAGTTTGTACAAGTGAAAGCTTGGATGCTAGATTTTTGATTGTGGAGTTTCCTTAAGACATTGTATAGGTGCTCTGCTAACGCAGCAGTGTGGCGCATACTGACATCCTGCGTTCTAGTAGATGTGTAGGTTAGGAACTTTAACTAATCCATATCCTGTAGACTCAACGTTCAGTGACCAGAATCTGTTTTGTCAGCTTTTAAACAGCTTCACTGAAATTTCCTGGCTTTAAAGGATTCAGCTCTTAAACTAAGGCTGTAAAGTCTCGTTCGATCCTCCCATACATGTTAGTCTTACCATGCTGCTGTCACTACAGGTAAAGGATTAGTCTTTCAGGTTATGCAATAATGGGTTCGTTTGTTTCTACACACAGTGACAGAGCGACTACTTGTAGTTCAGTGTCTGCTTTCGGATCTGAGTCCATCTGGATGGAGTTTAAATGACAGTTCACACACTGTGTGTGTCCTTTTTGTTCCTCTCAGATCAACAGGCTGCCTACACACAGCTTTACACAGAGAGGTTTAACATCACGGATCAGCTGAGCAGACACAAATGCAAGGAAGGGAATATACAGGTGGTTTCTGATCATTCCCTTTTACATTATATACAGTGTGCGTGACTTATGCGATTATGCTCTGTATATGGATATACATGCAAAAAAAGCTTTAGCTAAATATATAAACCCCTATCAGAGAAAGACCAGGCCGGTAAGAGACACCTCTGACTGACAGGCAGGATTCTGAGGAGATGTGGCTCTTTAAAAACTTTATTTCACCAGTTTATCATCTATTTGCTGATCTGCTGAGACTGTTTAGCACACTGCCAAATTACTGCTCAACCCCATTCTCATTAAACTGTCTTTGTGTTTCTAATATTTGGGATTTGTTCCAATCTGTACATGAAATTCAAAAACACTGATCTTTCCTGACAGAGGAAGCAGAAACCTGACTTGTTTTTCATTTTCTTTTTGCTTGAATATGACTTTCTGTACAGAAGAGTAGCTACACATTCCAAGAATAATGTCAGGTCCGCTCGGCCTGACCAGCCTCTCTTTCTATTTTCCCTCTCCTGCTCTCCCTTTTTGCGGGATCAACGCCTCAGCTGTGTCGCATCGGGTAATTAGTGACTCGTGGGTCGGTGCGCACACCTGAGGCGTATTCCGGTGATTTGTTGGCTTCCTTATTTATACCTCTGGCAGACGCCCCGTGGTCGCCGGAGCATTGCAACGTACTATACTTAGAGTAAGTTATACAAAGGGTGTGGTTGACCCGCATTTGTTAGACGTGTGTAAGATGCTACGCTGACAGTCTCTGTGCGTTTTGGCTTGACCTTATCACCCTAACTATGCGGTTAGCAACACAGAAATACGTGCTTTGTCTTCCACGCTGACAGTCTCTGTGCTGTGGATTGTTACGTTCGTTCTTTTTGTTCACCTGTCCGTACTCATCCTCCTGCTATCCTAGTTCCTGTCGTTAGTTTGTGTGTTTACCGTCCTGGTCTCCTTAGTCATCACTGCCCTTCCCTTGTTGTATGTATTATGGACCTTGTTTTGTTGTCATGTTGTTTTTATTCCATTAAACCACCTTTTTTTGTACTAGCACCTGGGTCAGCCATCTTGAGTCCAACCCCAGTTCCCCCTCACCCTCCAGGTGAGGGGGACTAAACCATAACAAATAAGTGTTCCACTCACTTTTTCACTGCCTATTGAAAACACTGCCTTCTATATGTACACTGGGTTTTCCTATTTACAGCGCCTGTGGAGAACAAGCATCACCTCTTTGTAAGAACCTCCTGTAGTAAACAAACTGTGTTATTGTAAACATGTCACTCCTTTTTCACACAGTGCTCCACCTTTTCAGTGAGGACACATGAGGCTGGACCAGTAAAGTAGGTGAAACAGAGGACAGGCTTGTGTAGGAAAATGAAGGTGTTGTCCTTTCAGTGCAACTCGGATGCATTTTGTGTTGTGTGCACAGCTTTGTGTTCTATCCAAACACTAAAAGGCCTGCTCTTCAATCCAACTTAAACATAGCTGGATTAAAATAAACCTTCCTTTCCACAGAATGACACAGAAGCTGATCTGACCCGCTTTTCACCTCTAAAACTCCGCAGTCACTCTTTCTTCTTCTCTTGCTAACTTTGCTGTAGTTACATTTTTGTATTCACACTTCTCGGCCTTCACAAATACTTCCTCTCACCCTTTATCATGACTGTGCTTTTATATTTGCTATGGTCAGTGGACACGTACATACAGTGTGTGTGTGTGTGTGTGTGTATCTGTCAAAGCCCAGGCTCGTGCTGATTCATGTCAAACTGTGGACTATACTGTGTGTGTGTTTGAGTATATGTGTGTGTTTCTGTGCAATATTCTTCCAGAACCTTCTCCGTCTCCTTTTTAAAAGCCACTGATGTGGCAGTAGGCCTCCAGGCTGGAGAACAGGATGTAGAGGAACCACAGACCAAAGAACAGCAGACTGGTGAGGAGGCGGGGCATCCTCGGGCCGCCGAGCTCTCCGCCAATAGAGGGCCGGCGTCTGAACAGCAGCACACCCATGCAGATGAAAGCGAAGACGGTGAAGAGTGTGACTGAGAAAGCCAGTGACCCCGGTGCCACCTTGAACTCCTTCCCTTTGATTTTCCAATAGACGGCGGCCACTGACCACGCCACACCAATCCCCAAGAACACATTGACAGCGTTGCTACCGGTCACGTTCCCAACAGATGCATCGGCATGCTGGTCCTGCATGGCAGCCACTTTGCTAGCAAAGGTGTCTAAGATGCAAGAAAGAGGTGGGGAAAGTACATTAAGCACCTCGACACACATGTACACACACAAACAGAGGTGATACACTCCAAAACACAGACATTATGTCACTAAAACCCCATGGACCCTCACAGCCATGGATGGATTACTGAACGGGCCCAGGGGACACCCTGGTCCCTGGGCCACAGCATCTGTTTGAAATGGCTGTAACATTTATTTTGGGATTTATATGAAGACAAAGACACACAAAACGACCACAAAGAGACACAGGATAATCACAAAGAGATACAAAATAACTACAAAGACACACTAAAGAATCACAAACAGACAGTTTGTCTCTTTCAATCCCAGATACACAGGTGGTGTGCTGCAATTTTTTTAATTCAGGGGAAAAGAGTTAAAAGATTCACGCTGCACTTTACCACAGACGTGTTATAAGCCAAGCCAGGAAACTGAAAGGTTTGCCTGAGGGGGAGAGATAAAACTGCTTGCTATAATTAGGATTCCAAATTTAGCTGTGAATAGTTAATCACAGGACCACACAATAAGCATGCTGGGACTTCTAACAAACAGCTTTTGTGAACTTGTGAAGGATAACATGTGCACACAGCGTCACAAAGCTTATTAACTACTTAAAGGAAGGTCGGAGCCCTGGATCAGCACTGGGGTGCTTGGGGCTTGTGTTTCATGGTTAATTGGTTTGATCACTCTCTTCAAATACAAAGAATTTCTACAATGTTAGCAAAAACAAGAACCCCGGTGTTGTGAATGAGGTGATATCAGTTGTTCTCACCTCCTTTGTGATGAAGAGATCTGAGAAGCCCATTTAAACAGCAGATACAGTAGAGACAAGGCAAGTGGCAACCCTGGTTGAGCCACTGCATTTTGCTAATGGCAGGTGGAGAATCTGAGGACACTCATATTTTGCAGCAGAGAAACTTCTTTCTCATTTGAATGTGAATTTAAATCTCACTAGATGGATTATGAAGGTCATGACAAACATGCTGTTTGCTCTGTTATTCTTTTAAATGCTCAAACTGCACCTATACATTTACTGGATTTCTGATGACAGGACATAAACGTTCATAAAGGATACTCGTTCACCTGGAATAGAAGTTCCCAGTGCCACAAAAACCACCGCGGTCACAGTGTCCCGAAGCCCCACAGTGCAGCCGAAGTGTGACGCTAAATCTCCAATGATGGCGGTAAGGAAGCCGATGACGCTGATGGAGACGAGGAAGCAGGCCCAGCCATTCCAGTACTCTGTAGGTGGTACACAGGCAAACAGAACCTTCCAGAAGACGGTAAGGAAATGCATGACGTAGTCATAACAAGATGGAAGCCGCTCCTCACGACCTTCCTCATCATCATCATCCCCGTCGCCTGAGGGGAGACAAACATCACAGAGGAGATTAGAGCCAGCACAGCCTCTACAGTGCACACTGACACAGCTGGCTTCACATTCATTATGCACAGGAAGATAAATACTTTTATTTTCAGGTTAAATTTTCATGTTCTCACAAAGATGACACCACAGTGGAATATTAACTGTCTGCAGTGAACTGTTACTTCCACTAGAGGGGAGCCTTAAATTACAAATCTGAATCTGGTTTGGTAAGAACACTGGTTCACTGTGACAGCTGACTGTGTTTGTGGTCACTGGACTTGTTCATCCATCCATTATCTATACCACAGGGGGGCTGGAGCCAATCCCAGCTAACACTGGGCGAGAGGTAGGGTCCACCCTGGACAGGTCGCCAGTCTGTCACAGGGCTGACATGTAGACAAACAACCACACACACTCCTACGGACAGTTTAGTGTCACCAGTCAACCTGAGCTGCAAGTTTTTGGACTGTGGGAGGAAGCCAGAGCACCTGGAGAGAGCCCACGCAGGCACAGGGAGAACATGCAGACTCCACACAGAAAGGTCCCGGGTTGGCCGGGGCTCGAAGCCGGAACCTTCTTTCTGTGACAGCGCTAACCACAGCTCTGCTGTGCCGCCCCTGGACTTGTTCAGAATTTCCTATTTCTTACTTTTCTGACACAAGGAGATCCCAGTGTGTATGTAGCATGAATAGAGTAGTTTGTGACACATACTGTGTAATTACAAGAAAGGCAGATTTTAGGTTGTCTTTTTGTTGTTCATGACTTTGATTAATTCAAGGGACAAATATAAACACAGTTTGCTGCCCTTGTTGTACAGCCATGTGCACAGGTCTGGTTTCAGAAGTGCATGTGTGGAGAACAATGTAAATAGATACCTGATGCTTTATGGTGTAATGTTGTATTTGCATCTTTGCTAACAAGAACACCGGTTTTTGAGCAGTTTGCCTTTGGCTAGTGTTAAATTCCAGCACCTTTTAACTGAAAATAAAAATATTACCTCAAAAACAAAGTCTACTCTTCCCTTCCATTAAAACTGGGACAGGGTTTGCTTGTATCCTTTTCAGGCGGCATACAGAGGCTTTATCACTAAAGTAGGGCTGCCTATGTGTTGCCTGAGAGGTAAAACTCTGGGGGAAAAGGTCTATATTGAACTTGTTGCTGCTTGAGCTCGGTGATAAATGAAGGCCAGTCATAAATATATCAACATTTTCATCAACTCAAAGAGACTTTATTCAACTCAACACTATAACAATGACACCCTTCTGTACAGGGTTAGGACCACTACTGTTATTTGAGACTTGGCTTCATGTGTTTCCTCCAAAAACACTTCAGGTAACTAACGGTACATTTCTCAGAGAGCTGGCAGACCTGCTCAACACAAACATATAGCACTTTCAAGATGCAGGGTCGCAGTCTTACACGCCTCTCTGCTGTCTCCTTGCAGCTGCTACCCACCCAACGCTCCCAGTACCCCATAGAGACTGTCTGCCCCCCGCCCACCTAAATTATATAAATCAAGAATCAACTCCAGA